GGGGGGGGGGGGGGGAGGAGAAAGCTTCGCATTCTGTCGACGATGAAAAGTATAACTCGTCACTCTCCTGGAGTGAATTTGTAAAAATGCTTCGGAATCTTTTCAAAAGGATTATTTCACCTATAAAACGAGTGAATATTCCCTGATTTACTCAGTGAAAACGTTCCCACTTTACCGCTCCGTCTTATGTCTCATTGACTTTGATATAGTGCGAATACAGTTTCGCTGCAAAGTCTGTAGTACACAATTTCAGCGAGATTTTATTAATTGCGGTGCTATATTTCTGTAACTGAGCTAATTAGAAGTATAACATTTCAGTGAAAAATATGCTGATTGTACTTTAACGTGCATGTGACATGTTAGTAATTTCCATTGACTCTTTCGTTTGCGCTTGCAGAAGCGTTGGCCATACAGAACGACAAAACGTCCTCTCGACTCTCACGAGAGAATATCGTGTTGAGTGCCAGCGCTTACACTGGTCCTGAAAAAACGTTCAGTACGAATCTACCGGGAGTGTCGTTGAATTTCCAAAAGACCGTACCGGCGTTCCAGCTGGAGAGTTCGAAGAGCGTGAACGGTTACGAGGGGGAGAAGACCAGGTTCGTATTCAAAGATATGAGCCGCGACGAGTTCATCGACGAGCTGACATCCTCGAAGCACGTGGCAAATATCGACGGTAACAACATCGAGGTGAAACCCGGTGAATACTACCAGTAAGCCATTCTGGTTTTTTTACGAATATTACGGAAAGAGGGCGTATTACGAGAAGAGTTTCAAGCTCAAATCAGTCCATTTTATTGACAATGATACAAACTACACCCTAGTAAAGAATATTAAATTTAAACATTTATGTATCGAAAAAAAATAATTTTATCTTTTGCAGAATCCTCTTAACATATGGCTTCAAGAAAGTTCATGGAGAGGAAAATATTCTAAGAACAATAGTCTTAAAGTTAAAAAAAATTCGTTTTTTATCTATTAGGTGGTAAACTTAGTTCCTGCGGTTTTTTGTTTAAAAAACTCATTTATTTCGACATCAAAAGCAAAAAATACATTAATCGAAGTATTTTCCCTCGCTAGCTATACATTTTTCCCATCTTTCGGGCAACGCGTAGATTCCGCGACGATAGAACGATTGGTCTTTTGATGCAATCCATTCGTCGATCCATTTTCACACATCCTCATAATTTCTGAAGTGTGTATCCACCAAGCCGTGTTGCATCGACCGGAACAAGTAATAGTCCGAAGGAGCTAAGTCTGGTGAATACGCTGGGTGCGGGAGAACTTCCCACTCGAGCTGCATCAGTGTTTCTTTGACGGCTTTGGCAACGTGTGGTCGAGCGTTGTCGTGCAAAAGCATGACTTTACGTCGATTGCTGGCTACTGCTGGCCTTTTTTCCAACAATGCTTCATTCAGACGGTTTAATTGTGATTGATATCGATCCCCCGTGATACTTTCGTTCGGTCTGAGTAGCTCATAATAAACGACGCCGTGCATATCCCACCAAATGCAAAGCATTGCTTTGTGGCCATGAATATTTCTCTTTGGTGTGGATGTCGATGGTTGGCCAGGGTCTACCCATGATTTTCTTCGTTTAGGATTATCGAAGTATATCCATTTTTCATCGCCAGTCACTATGCGCCACAAAAAACTCTTCTTTTTCTGCCTGGCGAGCAGAGAAATAGAGATGTTTAAGCGATTCGCAATGGCATTTGCGGTTAATTCGTGTGGTACCCATTTTCCCTCCTTTTGAATTTTTCCCATTGCATGTAGACGTTTGGAAACAGCCATCGGAGTAACATTTAATGCTGCAGACAATTCTTGGAGCGTTTGAGTAGAGTTTTCGTCCAATAATGCCTGCAAATCGGTGTCTTCAAACTTTTTCGGTTGGCCTGAGCGTTCTTTATCATTGACATCAAAATCACCACTCTTAAATCGCTGAAACCATACTTGGCATGTTCTTTCCGATGGAGCATAATTGCCATAAGCTTCGAAAAGCAATTTATGAGCTGCAGCTGCAGTTTTTTTCAAGTCAAAGTAATGAAGCAGCACATGTCGAAAAAACAACTTATCACGTTCCATATTTAATCAAAAGAAAAAATAGCACTGCTCGCTTAAATGAATCTCTTCGCACTGAAAAATTTTGACAAATGTCTAACCTCTAAAATGCAGCCAGTTTCAGATGTCAAAATAAATTACACCTACAACTAACGTCATCTAACGGTGAGCCGCAGGAACTAAGTTTACCACCTAATACATATTTTTATCTAAAAACTTTTAATTTTTTCTTAATGGAACTTTCTCCTAATAAGAAGGCATTCGAGTAAACATATTCCTCTTGACTCAAAGGAAAAAGTTAGATCAATATCTAGTATATCTCCAATTGATAGTCCATCTCTCATTAAAAGAGGAATACTTTTTGGAATACTTTTTTCTTAATGGAACTTTCTCCTAATAAGAAGGCATTTGAGTAAACATATTCCTCTTGACTCAAAGGAAAAAGTTAGATCAATATTTAGTATATTTCCAATTGATAGTCCATCTCTCATTAGAAGAGGAATACTTTTTGGATAAAAACTTCCGTTTAAAAGAAGATAGCACTATGCAATTGGAATGTCTTATTTCAGGTGTTAGAAAATGTTAGTTTCAGGACATATCCTTTTGAGGCCATATATAAGAAGTTTCCGCCGAGAATTATCATATTGTGATGATAATATCATATTTGTGGGTGCGTTATCAGCAGTTTTAATCAGATATTTGTGTGAAATATCTCGACATTCGCTCTTAATTTCCGGGAGATAACAATTAAAAGCTGGTACGTTGCGAAGTAATTCATTGCCACCGACAGAATTGTGCCAACTACGAGCGATGTCGCGAGAAGGTCAATGTCGGGGGAAGGACAGGGGGCTCCGCAGAGACCAAATCTCCTGTCGGAGCCCCATCAGCCGGTTGGCGGGTCGAAGCTACGATCACAACATTCGCCAGTGACGGATCTGCAACGAAGAGGCCGTCAAGAGATCCCCAGGATCTATAGCGAACACGCGCCCCCGCCGGTTCTGCAGACCGCCACGCCAGGTCAGAGGCAGGCGAATCCCGATATACAGGACATTATCACCGGCATTGTCAAATTGCTCAACGGCAACGTCAACGTGGCCGCCAATACCGTAAGACCGTTGAGGCCGGTGCAGGCCACGAGGTACCACAAAAGCGTTCGATATTCCAGCACGGGCGTTACGACGCGACCCACGCTGAATATTCATGTGCACGTCGTATTATTAACGATAACGTTGCGTTTGCAGGATTAATAATCGAGGGCCGCCCAGGATTTCGGACGTGCCACCGTTGCCGCCGGATTTTGACACCCCCGGCATGAACCCACCGCCACCACCCTCCTCTCATCCTTATCCATTCGAAAAACCTCCTGCACCTGACAAACCGTCGTTGAATCAGCTGCCACCTGAAAGGCCCATCAGACCGTTCATTAACGGAGTGCCACTACCAGAGCAAATCGTGCCGCCTTGGAATTGGGATTCTTCTCATGGTACGTTTTATCGATTTCTGCAAATAATCATGCTATCTATTTTATACAAAGGTCTCATGCAACGAGATATATAACCGAGTAGTTTGGCACTTTTATGAATAGTTGGCTGCATAGTTAAGCAAGAATAATCCAACCCATCAAAAACCTATCAAAAACCAGATTATATAAATTATGATCTTTGAGTTTTTGTCTTTTACCAACTGATTTTTCTATATAAAACAAAAAAAATTCAAGCCTTGATTAATTAAAAACAGTTTCTCTTTTCTACTCTTAATTGTGTCTTTTTATATATTTTTTAAGAATTAAGCTTGTCAATTATAATACTATTGAATAGAGACAAAATTGAACGATTGCGGAGAACCTTAGTGCTTATTTATACCTTTTAAAATCGTGTATCAAATTTTCATTTTCATTTTTCCCGAAACGTATTTTGTGTGGATTGGATCATTTTTGTACAACTACGGCCAGTTGTAACTCAATCGCTCCTCTCTTCTCTGTTTAATTTGAACAAAATTAAATTATTAAATTTCAATTTATTATTAAATTTCACTGTGGACGTATATATTGTTTAAAATCAATCCTTATCTCTTTGAAGGTGGAAATAGGCGACCAGTGTTGTCCCATAAACCACCGCTCTTAGATTCCACCTTTCATCGTGACAGGAACTTCTCGATGACAGAGAACTCGCACTATGATTTAAAACCGGAATCTGAAACGCCTCAGGAGAGCTCGACGAAAAAGAAAGACGCTAGTCATCAGGGAACACACACTGACGACTATGAGATTAAGAATCACACGAGCAGCTCCACTGACAACAAAAATCGAATCGAAACTACGACGACCATTGATGACTCAGTCCTTCAGAATGTAACAAAGAGACCGGAAGCCGAGGAGTCCACGAAGAAGAGCCAAAAGCTTCACCCACCTTCGAAGGAGAATAACGTCAATGCTGAAGAGACGTTGATCCTCGGCATTGCTACCGACGGCATCGCTCCGACTCACTCGATGCAATATCCAGCACCTTCGAAGACAGCAGCTTCCTCGAATAGCCAACTTAAAGTTACGAAATCTTCAAAAAACGAGGACAAAGCGACCGCGACCATCAAAGGGGAAAAACCGACCGAGAAAACCGTCTCGGCCGTCCCAAAGATTACAGCCACGAAGGTTTTCTCGACCAGCACCCTGAACATCGAGACCAGCTCGTCCGTCCAAGTGATCGAGTCCACACCGACGAGGTTTAATCTCCGGCCTACTATGGTTGCTACGGAATCGGCGTTTGACTCCAAGTCTAGTGTGGTGAACTTGGAGCCTAGCAGAGTATCAGATATCGAGTACACAACGCCCGCATCTAGCGTCTCGACGCCCACCGAAAGTCTGCCTACTAGCTACTCGAAGAGCTCGACGACGATAGAAAAGAGCGCCATTCATCCTGCGACCTTTACGAAAAATACAGGTATGCGAAGATACACAGACAACGTATCTGAAGAATGCGTGTGAGGAATGCTTGCTCGATGATTCGCAGGATTTATCCTTGTTTGTTTGTTTAAACGTTACTTTCGCTTATTTTGTACATGCTGGCGAATAACGTGTAAGTCTTACAATACATGAGATAACATTGTGGTAGGATCTACGGAACATTACCGACCACGGCCTGGAATTGTCCTGGATGACACTCTGGATTACACCGGTGCGCAGGGATTACCGAGTCAGAGACCTTATTCTCCTTCGAGACATCCGCCTATCGGTGACGTGTTCGATGTGACCGTTTCGGCGATTCAGGGACCCGGAGGAAGTTCCGGTAACTTTCACGCTTACGTAATTTCTTCGACCAGCTACTCTCATATCTTGAGTCACTTATGTGCATATAGCATAAACTTCCAAAGCACATCCTAGAGATATCCCAGAGATATCTGGACATCTCTGTGGGACGTCTCTAGGATGTGTTTTAAACATTTGTATGAACATGGTCGATCTATAACTTACCAGTCCTTTTTGTGTAATGTTTCGTAAGGTTTTAACATTTACATGTGTATGGAGGATTGGTTGGGAAATTTTTACGAGTAGATGAGTCCCCGTGCAACATTTAATTCTGTCTCAATTTAAGGGGAGAGCATCAGGGTGTCCGTGAATCCCGGTGGCGGTGATATTATATTAACATCCGCTGTCGGTGGGCAAGGTTACGTGAGCATTGATGGTAAACGGACGTATTTGAATCTGTTTGACAACACGGATCGAACACCGACGGGACCCACGCACGTTCAACCGCAGCCAACCAGAACTCAACCGCCGCCCATCATCGGTACCGGGTGAGCCTCTTCTTCATGATTACGATACGACAGAATCGAAGATTCGATCGTTTTTCCACTCGGCAAAAAGATACGTCAACTCAATTTCTCTGACAATTTAATCTCTAACGGATGTATAAATCGTTAATTTAATTTCCTGTCCTCCGGGAAAATTTCTATCGCTCTGTGATGATAAAATGGTATCAATATACATAAAATATAATATCTGTCTCTATATTCCCTATAAACTCCCAAACTCTTTGACCGGATAGAATATTGTGTAGTTATTCTCCAGAACTCTGCGGAAAACATAGGCTACATTAAACCTGGACATTACTCCATTCCCTCCCCCTGATTTCGTCTCCTCGACATTTTGTGTGATAATTTAAGTCTAGACGTTCTAGATACGAGAAGCTCGGACAACACCGGATTAAGTTTAAGCTATTTAGTTATGAAACGCAAATACACACGAGATATTCTCATTAACGGATCCTGTTTGGAAACCTCTCCGCTTTGTGCAGTCTCGCCATTCCACAACCGGATGCTCCAGTTGCCACTTCACGCCCAAATGGACCCAATCGGAGGCAGCCACCATTATATCGTAGACCGACACAGCCACCTGTCAGAATAGACACTTGCATCGTGGGCGACACGAGTACGTGCGATGCGAGTCAACACGAGGCCTGTGCAACTGTTCAAGGGGTATCGGCTTGTCACTGTAAGCCGGGATACGCGAGATTGCAGCATTCATTGCCGTGCAAGAGTCAGTGAACAATCGTAGACTGCGTAGAGGCACGTCGATTACAAACTGTGCTAATTTCGCATGTGACATTTCTGTGTTGCAGAAATCGTCAGTATCGTCGTGTCAATCAGAGTGGACAAATTTTACGACAAGAAAATCGTATGGGATCGAGGATTATCCGACAAGGACTCAGAATCTTATCAGACTCTTGCTTATGAGGCGAACAGAGCTGTGAGTATGAATTAAATCATCAATCGATGCAACATTCATAAAGTGACTAGACAATGATTGATTTATATACTATTTTCTGTTTAATCTATCTTGGTTTTTTAATGATATCGTATTACAGCTAAATGTGTAATACAAGTTTTATCAATCCTTTTCTTCCTTACCTCCCATTTATGATTTGATATACTTAATTCTTTTTCTCGCTTTCTCTCAGTTTCTCCCTTTCTCTCAGTTTCTCCCTTTGTACTTAGCTAAATTTTTTATGCAATTTGTCACTCATTTTTATAATGTTTTCATACAGATTGAATCTGCCATGTCTATGACACCGTTCTCGGATGAGTATATGGGATCGCAAATAAACAATGTTTACCAAGGCGACGTAAGCCAAGGGCAAGGAGGTGTTTTCGTAAACACGACCCTGAAGCTCACCTATGAACCGAGAACGATCAGACCGAGTTTAGCAGGCGAGCTGCAAAGGCATTTGTTGGGTGTTATTCATAGAAGGAATAATAACATCGGTAACAGCGCTTTATATGTGGACAGCCCGCCTGGGTCGATATCGAACTTGCAGGGTGAGACTCTGACAACTATAATCAGCAGCAGAAACTGATATTGTTTCAACTTACAAGATATAATGTATACACAACTATAGGTATAATCGACACATTGCGTATTTATACAATCACAATCTACAGATTTGGATGAATGCGCTTCGTCAGAGTTGAACGATTGCCATTCCTCCGCCAGCTGCAGCAACACCTTTGGAGGTTTCACGTGCAGCTGTAATCTAGGATTAAAGGATCCTCACAAGGACGATCCCAACGAGTCTGGCAGAACGTGCTTGTCGTGTCCCTCAACCTATTGCAATAATCGCGGCTCATGCTCTTACCAAGGGGATCAGATGCAGTGCACGTAAGTAAACGCGATCGCGTAAATCCTTCGATTTATAGTCTGCTATTTTTATATGTGATATAATATCTTATACATGACATTCTAGGTGCACCGGCAATTACTACGGCGCTCAATGCGAGGTCGACGGTGAAGTCTTGGGTGTCGCAATAGGCGCATCTGTGGCTGCATTAGTAATCATAGTGTTGACGCTAGTTTGCCTCGTTATGTGGAGGTAATAACTTTTAGATGAATAAGTTTCTAATATTTATTCGCGTATCATGCCATTTTTTTCTTTATATTAAGGATTTATCAAAGCTCGTCTGGTTTTTCACTATATTTCTTTCATTAATAATAATAACGAAACAAAACACATAAAGGGTGTCTTAAAAATATGGGAACCCCTGAATATCTTTTTATAGTGAGGTTTTTCGATAAAATTTTCAAAACAAAAGGATTTGTAGGATTTCAAAAGCTGAATTTGATGATGACCTTAAAATTGACCTTAAGTTTCATTTTGAAGGCCATTTCAAGGTCAACTTTATTTTTTCAAATTGAATATGCATATTTTCATGACGGATTCGGAATCTACGCCAAAAACTGGGACGCTTTTGTCTGAAATATTTTTTCAGAAAATGCTCTCTTTGACATTAAAATGACCTTCAAACTTTATTTCTTAAAGATATGGGAACAATACCATCAGCGGTCGCGCAATAGCGGATGCTGTGACTTCGAAATGACTCCCGATGGTCATTCTGACCCAAGGGTCAGGGTTCTCATTAAAAAAGCATTAATTAATTAAAAATAATAATTAATTTAAAAAATCCCATTAAAAATATGGGAACCCCTGAATATCTTTTTATAGGGAGGTTTTTCGATAAAATTTTCAAGACAAAAATTATAGGATTTCAGAAGCTGAATCTGATAGTGACCTTAAAATTGACCTTGAAGGTCATTTCGAGATCAACTTAATTTTTTTTAATGGAAACTCTGACCTTTGAGTCAGGATGACCATCATTTCGAAGTCAAAGCATCCGCTATTGCGCGACCACTGATGGCATTGTTCCTATATTTTTAAGAAAATCCGTGAAGTTTGAAGGTCATTTTAAAGTCAAAGGGAACATTTTCTGAAAAAATGTTTTAGACAAAAGCTTCTCAGTTTTTGGCATAGATTCCGACTCTGTCATGAAAATATGCATGTTCCGTTTGAAAAAATAAAGTTGACCTTGAAATGGCCTTCAAGGTCAAACTTAAGGTCAATTTTAAGTTCATCATCAGATTCAGCTTTTAAAATCCTACAATTTTTGTTTTGAAAGTTTTATCGAAAAACCTCATTATAAAAAGATATTCAGGGGTTCCCATATTTTTAAGACACCCTGTATACAAGATATACATATATGTATATCTTGCTCAATTAAAGTATCTACTGTGCGAAAGTTTTGTAATGCATTAAGTCTTACAAATCTTTGTGATACATTAAGTATTAAATTTTCAGTAGCAGTTTAAACTTGGATTCAAGTTTAAACTCTAACAATGTATTTGTTTCGTCTAAACAGAGTTTAAGTTGAAATCTAAGTTTAAATTATCATTGAAAAAAATCGGCCCTAAGTTGCATGTGCATGCACATCAGGTTCATTTTTCACGCATTTTACAGTCGAAGGTGGTCTCGCGAACAAAAGTCCGTAGGATCTCCAGTATACGGTTACATTCAGAGTGGAATACCCGGCACTCTTCCAGGTACACAATCAGATTAGCGTACAAATAGAAATCCAAACTGCCGTCAACGGCGCAGGTACACTACAAGGATCTTTTATTTGTCGGATCTGCAGGTACTTTAGCGAGGGTTGGTTCTGTAGGCACCCTGGCGTCCGTAAAACAAGGACCGCCGACTAATCTGCCTCCTTATATGTGGGCCCACTTCGGAGAACACATGGCTACAGCGAATGTCTATGCGGTATGTAGCAATTTTGCATAGTTAACGTTCCTTGATCAATATCGTGCGTGATACCTTTGAGAAGAAAATCATAATCACCATTGAAATTAAATATCGCGAGCACGATAATCAAGACATCTCCAGTTCTTTGCGCGCTGATAAAAATGAAACAACTTGACAACTTATTGTCGCAAGACCGAACCTATGGGCCCGACGCGACCGAGCTCAGCGATGTTCGGTTACCCATCCATGAACGTCCACGGCACATTGCCTCCGGTCCCATTACCGCGGCTGCAGGCCCCCCCGCGGCCTCGACAGAGATCCCAGCCAGATCCGGATAGCTCGGATTCCGAGCCGCAGGATAAGGATAGGGCCGACCTAATTCCGCAGAGCAGCGGTTTTCACGTGCCCAGGCCGAAGTCAAGATCCTCATTAGCTGTATGTATTCGTTAAGTTGGCGAGTGTATTATTATTATAGATTACGGCGATGAGAAAAGGAAATGTAAGTGGATTAAAAGACAATTTAACGCAACCGGATTTTCGCGTAACTGGATATTTAATCCTGGGAATACCGGTCGGTAATTCTCGTGATTGGTTTTTAAATCCGCTTCTCTCTGTGAGAGAGGCTTCTACGCAGCAGGCTTATTGATTTCACGCTTTTATTACGGAATGTTCAATCACGTTTCAGAATCAAAGTGGCATTTATAATGACGTGGAGTACGATCAGGGTGACGTTCACCACTTGTCGAAGAACAACATCCCGATGTCTACTTACAGGCCGTATTACAGAACGTGAAATCGTGCAATTCGAGAAGCGGCGCGCGTTCGCGAACGTGCATCGAGGGACACCGCCGCATAACGCGTCGCGATACATTTACCGCCTCGGGTGTTCGATAAGTAGCGCATTACGACACGCGCGATATTGCCAATTCGAAGTAATGTCGCGCTAGAAACTGTGACTCCAAGAATCTTATGTATGCGTGAACGCGAAATGATCAACATGTACGAACAGAATTCGCAAACACGGAGGCGGTAGTGGAAGCCTAATCGTGAACGCGCGTATTAAGCAGATTAAATCGTTGAAGTCGTGTTCTCGTAGTCACGCGACAGTATGTGCTTTTACGGTACACCGATACTACAATTCCCAGTGTGTAGTATGAATATATTTATTATTCATTAATTTCCCGATCATCGATTTCCCAATCGATATTTTCTGTAAAATCCAAAAAGTTGTTGAGTAGCTTTAGCGAGGGAAACGTGTCAATCGCCTATATGTAAGTTTCTAGTTGTTGAATGATTAAGCTCAATACTCAGATTAAGAATAATTTATAACTACGAATAATCGACTGCGACTTTATCTGATAAGCGGATACTAATGAGCACCGCGTTACGAATTAAGTAATTTAGAGTACAGAATGATTTAAGATTCGTATTAAATAATTTTAAAGAGTCTATTCTTAGAGAGCACATTTTAAAAAAGACTTTAATATAATTACGATTAACTTATTGAAACTTCTCTCTGAAAAAGATAATTCGGGGATAGTAAATTGTTATTTCCTAGCGCGCCCTGTCTACACCGTAAGGTACTGATAGTACTTAAATTAGCAATCTTAAGCAATCTCTGTAATTATACATATATATATATATATATACACACTATTTTTTTCAGATTAAGTACATAAAGTAATTTAAATTTTAATTCATTTATTATTTCAGTTCTGTAATGTACCTAACATGTATAAACCTGGAGAGGGGAGGAGGGAGAGGAAGTGGGTGAGGTGTAAAATAGAAAATTTACAAAAATGTACGAAGCTGCGAATCAATAAACGATAACGGTAAACAATAACGGTGTACGAAGCTGCAAAATTAATAAACGATAACGGTAAATAGGAGCGATCGCTCGATGTCTAATTAACGTGACTCAAATCGCTTATTGTTGGAAGCCGCGACAACAGTTGTTAAAGCTGCATAGCTGAAAGCCGGAAGTTTCATGTTGGCTGATGTGAAATAGTGAAATGCGCAATTTCAATAATATGTAAAACAAGAAAGCAAAATAATTACACTGACGGTTATTAAATGCTTGCTCTCCAACAAGCGCGTGGGGTTGCAAATTGATTCAATTTGGCTGTTTAGGTCGCGATATTGCGTCCTGTATGACAAATGTTATCGATCCGCGCGACGCGCTTGCACTTGCAACAGCGTCGACAAGAATGAAATATTTAGCCGGCTGCATGTCCAATAAATGAACACTAGATACGTGATGTATGTATATGTATGTATACTTATACCGACATAAGAGGTGAACAACCTCGATCGATTTTCACCGGAGGAGGCTGTGGTTGACTGCTCAACGCTTCAAACGCTTCACCTGTCGACATTTGAGTCCGCGACAATTGGAGGCTTCCGATTCACGCGCGATCCCTAATTACGCCGCAAGAATCAATCAAGCTGATTGCATCGTCCTGGAAGCGTCTACGAAAAATCGACGAGTTATCGACGAGACACCTAGCTCCCGCGATATTCCCGGAATTTTAATTAACTTAATTAGATATTTTGCAGCAAAATGTGTGCACGAACGGTTAATTAAATCGTGCCCGCGGGGATTCGTGCTCGATATTCACAAACTGAATTTATATATAATTAAAAAGATAATTTCTAATCGGGTAAAAGGATATCGTATGTGAAAGGATTTTCCATATTTACTTTGCGGCTCTTACGCGCTTCGTGTTCTCGCTAGTTTCGAAAGCTTAATAACCGCAATTTTTTCAGCTTCTGAAGTAGTCATCCGGGAAATCTCGTATAGATTATCGCCCTTGGCACAATGCATTTTATTTTTCCTATTTGTATTTTTCCTATTTGTGCCTGAAATTTTTGCCAGATACTGAAAATTATCTCACGTATTCCCGCGGAATCACGAGATATCGGAAGTCTCCGACGTTATATTATGCGGCGAAAATTTACCGCGAAAGGAGAAATTGAAAGGAGAAATTGACAGGACGTTAAATGGCAACATCGCTGCGTATTCGACGGACTCTTCGAGAATATTCAGAGAATACAGGGATGTGTCCTCGCATATTCCATTGACATTTATTTCAACGATCATCGATGCGCAATGTCATAATCGCAAGTTTGGTGTGGTTGATATTAACCGAGAGAACGCGCAGAATTAACGACGCGCTACGAATATCGGCGGATATCTGTTTGCGCAAAAAAGGCCGCGAACAATTCGCGATCCTTTATAACGAACGCACGCACTGCGAGTGAAATGTATCCGCTTGCGCGTTTTATTCGAAATGCATGCTTTCGGCCCTCTATTGAATATTTCCACAGTGGTGCGCGTTTAAATAAAAAACGTGTTTTGTGGAAAAAGCAGATCAATGTATTGCTTTCATTCCTCCTTCCTATCACTCGCACGTTTCAGTCGTCTGGCTATCCTCCACCGACATGTATTCAATTTGATCGAAGCAAATGGTGATAAAGGCACTTTGACTAATGACGCTTTTAAATGCTTCAGATTTCTACTAAGTCATTACTTAAAACTTGTCTCTCAAGTAATATACTTTTGAGTGATTTTAATTTAGAGTAAAATAATTTAGAGTAAAATATACTGTTAGAAAAATTCGTATTAAATTTAATAACTGGGATGTGGAGTTTTTTACATAACTATATTATAAAAAGTAATAATAACATCAATATTATATTTAATAACACATAGTTAGGAAAAATCATGATGAAGAGACTTCTAAATAGCTCCGTTGAAATCTCGATAAAGGCTACGATGTTTTGCAATCTTTCAGGTCACGTGACCGAAACAGTCTCGTATTTGTGATATATTAGAAAAATTATTCTATCATTTTATAACGTGTTATAATGTGTTTCATAATTTAATATGGAATTTAATAAGAAAACATGGAATATAAGATAGAAAATATTAGATTTTATAAGAAATATGAAATATTATAATTAATTTATAATTAATAATCCTAATGTTATGAAAATTTTCACTATTATTAATTTTAATATCAAATTCTTAAATTTATTTACAAAAATGCTATTATTTTTGAGAACTTTTCTAACAGTGTAGTTTAAAGTAACTAAAGTAAAATAGAGTAATTTAGAAAAAATAACAGTTTTTCAGTTAAATATTGTGCGATCACAGATATGAGTGTTACGTATATCATAATTCAATCATATAAAATTTTGAATCTAACTCTGAATAAAGATTCGAGTGTTTTATATGAGACAAATTTCAAGTAACAGCTATTAATATGAGCCTTGGTAGCGTTTCGTTACACATTTGACTCTACTGAAAGAAACGAAACGGTGGAGAAAGAATGCAATTGCTCAAGAAACGCGCTGGAAACTCACGAGCAGTGTCAAGCATGAATCGACGAGAATTCTCTTTTGCTGGGACAGTCGGCAATTCAATCATCGAAATTAATAATTAATTCTACAAGCAATCGCAAATAATTTGATCGAATTTGATGAAATTAATTATCAATCAGTGCATAATCAATCACGTCAAATAAAATTATTTATAATTTGACGTTGTACCTATGGCAATTGGCTAATTTTGATTTGCTGATTGTTATAAATCAAAGAGCATTTTAATAGATTAATACACTTCATTTGGGGAATTCTCTTTGCAGTTACATTTGTTTTTGGATAATCGTATAAAGCAAACTTGGTGTGTTTGCATGCGAATGCTAAGTGTCATGCATATTGGCAGGGAACACGTTAAATATCATTGAAAATTCTGAATAAGGATAAACCTGAGATCGGTGCGTGACACATGTATGACGCTGGTAGCGCGAAGACGTGTTAATAGATTAAATAGGTTAAACCTTCCGCTACCAACGAGACATGTTCCGAGAGACACATATTCTCTCTACCATTAATAATAACCTTCCCGAGTCGGAATTTTGGTCCTATGTTAAACATTGAATTCTACGCAGTAGGAGCTAAATTAGCAAAGCGGGTTTAATTTTAATGATATATTATATTCCTTTATTTAACTCTGATGATGTTCAAAATTTCTACTTTCTTTAGCGTCAAAATAAGTGTTGAATGAAATAGTGAGGCTGAAAGCAGAATTTTTACTTGGTGAATTAATCGTCTTTCTCTCAAAATTGACTAATCTCGCCATAGATATAACGTCAAGTAATTTCATTTGACATGATTAATTATACACTAATTGATAATTAATCAAAATTTCGATTCGGGTAAGTAGCTTTTTTGGCATTCAGAACACATCAGCTATCTATTTTCTATCTATTATCCCGTTGGGATAAATACGCCATCCCAAAAGCTCTGGGACATCAGTGTATCGGCCATTTAGCGCCAAACATAAAACTTTTTAGCTTTCTTACTAAAATTATATTACATTAACGTATTTAATGAAGTTAAAGTAAAGGAAAAATTATCATTATTATTATTAAATTAAATTAAGTTAAAGTAAAGGAAAAGTATCTTTTGGAAATAAAATTGGTAGTGAAAGGGTTATACTGGTCGTGAGCTGTTGGGTGACCGCGCGTCAATAGAAAATTTCATGACAGTCGAGCGATGTTTTTGTGCCGACCATTCCTCGCTTTCTGTGATTGCAGTAGCATTTAACCGCGGCTTGAAATGACATCCGTGACGTGCATTTTAGCCGGCACATTTTTCGCCCTGCATGTCGAGCACGTTTGAAGTTTCAAGCGGGACAATACGCCCCCCGATATAAATTACAAGTTTTATGGAAACAAACGCCGTGTCTGGTCTAAAAGTATTGGATTTCCTCGCGCGGTGTGTGTGCGCTCATGTTATGCCGTTTATCGGACAGCGGGACGCTGCTGGCAATAGCTGAAATCATGCGAGAATGACGTCAATTGACCGACAACCGCTGCTTTTGATATCTAACTGAGAATTTTCTTTTTTTTTTCTCTTCTTTTTTCCCTTTCTTGTAACAGACGTGTCTGAATGACTGAATACACCGATAAGGCTCCTCTAAATTATCGCGTGCTTCTTGTATCGTCACGTTTTGTCTTGTTTCGTCATTGAGTCTCGTATGTCGTCTTGTCCTTGTTATGATTAGATGGTCAGGTTGATAAATCAAAGTAACACAAACAAGCGCGCGGTAAGTGGCCGCGTTACGAGCGGTAATCAGTGAGACTTCGAAGTGCACTTAAAAGACGGCGCGAAAGTCTTGCGTATTTCTCTCTTCCTCCCTCCTTCCTTACTTTCCGTTTATTTCTTTTCATCGGAGACGCCGTATCTCGGGAGGGAGTAAAATAGATTTTCGTTGTCGTTACAGATTGTAACGCGATTAGTACGCGGGCTGCTCGTGTCAGGGAAACCACTCGGCCGCGCCGTGTCTTCTATTAACCCCATTGGGGACGGGCCGGGCGAGAACCTTGCCTTGCAATTCCGTAACTCTATATATGGTAAGTCGATTTGCACCGGCGCGCGATCTCCTGTATCTGTTTAGCATCCAAACAGGAAAGTAATCTCGCAGGTGCGATACGTGGCCTCGCGAAACGCACCTGAGCGCAAAAAGCGCAATGCCGGGACGGAGTTTTCGAATAGCGGAAGTGTTCAGGTCAAAATTCGCAAGGTCAAATTCTGCAAGATAAGATCCGCAATAATGGAAACGCGACGATTGGTTTTGGTACTGTCGAGGGAGCTAAGTTCATAAAAATTGCTCAGCTTTGAATTTCTCGCGATACAAGAGATTGTCGAAATTTTGATCCTATTTTCAATCTTACCATTCCATTCAATACTTATTTTGATACTCTGAAACCTGCAATACAATCTATTTTGACACTAAAGAAAGTGAAAAGGAAAATTTCGAGTATCAGAGAAAAGGAAAATTTCGGGTTATCAGAGTCAAAGTAGGAATAAATTGTATCATTGG